TGGCCGTCATCGTTGCAAAGAAATTATTTCAGAGACTTTGAGACTTAAATTGGGGCTTCGTCACCAAAAGATAAGTCATGTCTGGGCTTAGTTCACTGTATTTGATAACTGGAGCAGGAGAAACCTGACTACAGCAAATGAAAATCTGTAGATCAAAGGATGCCCTTTGATAGGAGCCAAACACAAGTCACCATTCAGCTTTTTTTTAAAAATAAAGATGACAACAAGTCCCAGGGCAGAAGTTCAAAAGCTAGTCGAGTCTTTCAATCCAACATGTATATGTTGCCATAGTATAGGATTTGATGGCTCTGACCCAGCCCACGAAAGATCTCAGAAACCACTGAACCATATATCTTTCAAAGACCCTGGAACACCAGGGAACTACCAGAGGGCTGGAAAAGAACCGATGTGGTTTCCATCTTCAAAAAAAGGAAAAATAAGCAGATCCAGAAAACTGCAGGCCAATGAGCCTGAAATCAATACCTAGGAAGATCCAGGGAATCAGATGTACGAACACCTGGAAGCAAGCAACGTCACAGCCGGAAGCCAACATGGGTTTGTCAAAAACAGATCATGCCAAACCAATCTTATTTCATTCTTGGACAAAGTGACAAAATTAGTGGACCAGTGAAATGCTGTGGACCTAGTATAACTGGATTCCAGTAAGGCATTTGACAATGTAGACCACAACCTATTTCTTGGTAAGAAGGCTTACGGAAGAGGTGGGATTCAGCCAGTTTGGACCAGTTTGGGCGAACCGGATGTTAAATTTACATCTGGTTCACCGAACTGGTAGTTGAACCCACCGGCTGGCCCCACCTGCACTGCCTGTTTTGGATGCAGTAGGTTCTGGGAGTATGAAAAACAGGCCTTCTGGAAGTCCAGAAACGGGCCTGTTTCCAGATTCCAGAGGGCCTCCGGACCCCAGGGAGGCCATTTTGGCTCTCCCAGAGGCCCGGGGGAAGCCTCCGGACCCTGGAGAAGGCAAAAAATGGCCTTCCCAAAAGTTCTGGTAGGCCACTCCCACCATGGCCATGTCCACCCAGCAACCGGGCAGCGAACCGGTGGCTGAGTTTTTTGAATCCCACCCCTGGCTTGCAGGAATTGGGTACATCTACTTTAATGAAAAGAAGGACCAGGGTTGACTTGATAGCGGTGTTCCGATATCTCAGGGGCTGCCACAAAGAAGAGAGGGTCAAGCTATTCTCCAAAGCCCCTGAGGGCAGGACAAGAAGCAACCGAGGGAAATTAACTAAGGAAATATTCAATGTAGAACTAATGAGAAATTTCCTGAAGTGAGAACAATTTACCACAGGAAGAGTTTGCTTGAATCATTGGAGGTTTTCAAGTAAAGATTGGACAACCGTTTGACCAGACTGGTATAAGGTCTCCTGAACTGAGCAGGGCGGTTGGATTAGAAGACCTCCAAGGTCCTCATGATAGGCAGCATCACCACCAGTTGGATTCGTAACTGGCTGATCAACCGCACTCAACATGGAGTCCTCAATGGAACTACACGGAAGGAAGTATGCAGTAGAGCACCGCATGGCTCTGTCTTAGGTCCAGTACTCTTCAATATCTTAATCAATAATTTAAATACGGGGTGTCATGCCCCTGTTGGAATCTGATTCTGAGGGGGAGATTGAGCAGGTGACAGGGAGTGGGAGTGTGGCTCCGGTGGCTGGGGAGGAAACTGGGGAAGGGCACAGGCCGGCTGGGCATTCAGAGGAAGACCCAGGCTCACCTCCTTCTTCATCCTAGGGCACGCAGGGAGGAATGGATAAGGGAGCAACGTGGGTTACGGGGGAGAAAAAGGCCCTGATTCCCTTCATTGGCTGCAGCTGGGGAAACAGGATAAAGAGGGTGTTTGTGCACAGCTCCTTTGCTGGAAGCAAAGCGTACATTATCTTTGCTTGTCAAGTCCTATCTGGGTTCTGGTGTCCTCCCAACTGTGTTTCATTATGTTTTGAGTTCTGCAATTCCTTATCCAGCCCTGTCTCGTTAATTGCTGCGAGCATGTGGTTTGTGTTGGTTTTTATTTATAATTTATAGGTACTTTGGGGTTCGCACTGAATTTCTTCCCTTTAAAGACTGTTCTTGGGAGAGTTTTCTCTCCAGCCGATGATAACTGGACATTGGGGGCCAAGTTGGAGGTATTAAAGGGACTTTACCTACTTTTGTGACTTTGTTGCTTTTGTGCCATGCCCCGGGTCATCACAAGGGGATAGAAAGGGAATTCATCAAATTTGCAGGTGGCACCAAGCTCGCAGGAACGGCCAACACTCCAGAAGAAAGGCTCAAGATACCGAAGGGTCTTAACAGATTTGAACTATCTAACAAAATGCAATTCAGTGATGAGAAAAGTAACGTTCTACATTTAAGGAAGAAAAAATAGATGCGCATCTACAGAATAGGTGATGCCTGGCTCGATAGCGGTAACTGGGAGAGGGACAAGCACTTGAATAGGAGCCAGCAGTGTGCTGCAGCTGCCAAAAAAGCCAACACAATCCTAGGCTACATTAACAGAGGGATAGAATTAAGATTACGGGAAGCGTTGATACCGCTTTATAATGTAAAGACCACCCTTGGAATATTGTATCCAGTTTTGGTCACCACAATATAAAAAAAAAGATGTTGAGACTCTAGAAAGAGTGCGGAGAAAAGCAACGAAGAGGATTAGGGGACTGGAGGCTAAAACATATAAAGAACGGTTGCAGGAATTGGGTATGTCTAGTTTAATGAAAAGAAGGACTAAGGGTGACATGATAGCAGCCTTCCAATATCTCAGGGGCTGCCAAAAAGAACAGGGGGTTAACCTATTCTCTGTAATACCTGAAGGATCTCGACAGATGAACACTGGGCCCCATCTAAGAAAATTCAATTCACTGGTGAGGAAAGTAAGGTTTTACACTTAGGCAAGAAAAAACAAATATACAGGTATAGAGTAGGTGGTTCCTGGCTCAACAGTAATAACCGTGATTTCATTTCCTCTGTGAACTTGTAAGAAGTAACACAGTAGGGACAAGTCCAGCATTAGATGTCCATCAAATACAGAGGTTTTTCAGCCCGATATCACTCCAAATATTTGTCATATAAGGAATGGACTGCAAAGAGCTTCCCAGGGTTGGAATGAAAAATGAAAAAGCTGTAGCAGCTCTCATCCTATTTTTTTTGCACACATCAATCACAAGGATGCGACACTATTTTGCACAATCTCCAGAAAAACACGAACAAATTCTGGCTCAACCAGTTTGGAAATTAAGGTCAAAGTTGGGAGGAGCAGACAAAGAGAGAAAGTCGAGCCAGCGATCAGACACGATTTGAGCAAGATGTTTGAAGATAAGGTGCTGGATAGAAAAGCATTAAAGCGCTGTTTCTCAACCTTGCTATTTGAAGAGGCTGTGGACTTCAGCTTCCAGAATTCTCCAGCCAGCATGAAGCCCACAAACTTTTAGGAACTATAAATTGACAATATCGACAGCATATAAAGAGAATCTACACAAGATGTTTTACAGATGGCACTTAGCTCCAGCAAAATTAGCAAAAATGTTTAAAGGTAAATCAATTAAATGTTGGAAATATCATCCAATACCCGGAACATATTACCATATGTGGTGGACTTGTACAGAAGCTAAAATGTATTGGACTAAAATACACACATGATTGGAAAAAATAATTAAACAACATATAGATTTTAAGCCTGAAATATTCCTACTAGGAATAGTACCAGAAGGTTATAGTATAGAAAAGAGCTACTTAATTACACATGTTTTAACAGCGGCTAGAATTGTATTTTCCCAAAACTGAAAGAGTGATAAGATATCGATAGAGGGAAAAAATAATTGGAAAAATATTTGAATGTGCAGAAATGAATAGATTGACATTAGAAATGAAAGAAAAAGAAAAATCTGAATATTATATGCTATGGGATTTGTTTTATCAATGGATAGAAAATAGAATAAACTAAAAGGGATTAGATGTATTCATAGAGCAGTAAGAGAAAACTAATGTAATGGACATATTGGATCTCATTTATACTACGTACATGGGATTGTGATTATTGTTATATTGTTAAGTTGGATAAGAATATTCTTAATAATGGTTAAGTAGTTGAAATATCTACCTAATCGACGCACAATTGAAATGGAATGGATTTATTGTATATACGATTTTTTTAAAAAAAATTACAAAAAAAAGTCCATAACTTCTTCAAATTGCCAAGATTGCAAAACACTACCATAGATCTCATTTGGTAGACCAGCTGAGTTGGTTGACGCAATGTCGACCCCTCTGGCCATCCTGTAGAAGTGACCGGTGAAACACAGCAGCGCCCGTGCCTGGAGGACCTCCTCCATATTGGCCCACTCGGGAAGTGTAATTAGTAGTTCAGCCATCTCATTCATTACACCCCAAACTTTCTTAACATACGTGTGGCACAGGAGCATGACACATGCTACGGGTGGTCCTCGACTTGCGACCGTTTATGTAATGGATGTTCAAAGTTACAACAGCGCTGAAAAAAGTGACTTGCAACCCGTCCTCACACTTACGACTATCAAAGTATTCCCCATGGTCACAGGATTGAAATTCAGGTGCTTGGCAACCGGCCTGTATTTAGGACGGTTGGAGCATTCCGGGGTGTTACGTGACTGCTGTTTATGGCCTTCCCAGAGGCTTTCAATAAAGTCAATGGCACAAGCGAGATTCACTTAACAACCGTGGCCAAAAAGGGTCCTAATATCGGCCACGGCTCACTTAATGACCTTGCTGCTTTGCTACGGGTTTCAGTCCCAATTCTGGTCATAAGTCAAGGACTTCCTGTGAAAGTATCATTTTTAATCTTTTTTAAGATTGTAAGCCAGCCAAGACCTATTCTGTGGTAAGATGGGTGGCCAAGAAATTCTACAAATACATTAAAAAAAATTATTTTTTAAAAAACCAAAGCATTTTAACGCTTCATTGAAATCATCTCTGATAAAGACATCCCAACAGCAACTCACTCGGATTGGAAAGTAATCTCGGAAGTATCTCCAAATGGCCCAGTTTCTAATCCACTGAGATCTTCTTCCAGCTTTGAAAAAAAAATATAAGAGAAAAGATTGAGAGATGAGGATATATAAACAAGGAAAGTGCAGCCAAATGCCATATATTGGTGAAGCTAATTTAGTTAACCATGATGCTCAAATCTATCTATATAAGAGCGAAAGACCCCTCATGCATCGTCCCAAAATCTCCTGAACCGTAAAGCCTACAAACGTGAAATTTGGCCCGTAGGTTCCTCTCGGCTTCTAGGGGCTCACTAAGAAAGGATTTTTCGAAATGACCATCAAAGCATTAGCATTTCCTATATTATTATTATTAACGTGCTCTGATGCTAAAGAGTTCTACTCCCACTCCCCAGCTGAAAAGAAATCTGCTCCAAATGCAAAACACATGCAGAGGAGTTTGTTTCAGTTTCACAGCAGCACCAAGCAGCTTTAGTACAGAACAGTTGATCTAAGCCACGCCCAGGCTCCTTGCTGTCTCCTCCTTGTTCACACAGCAAATACTGTTTCAGTTTCCAAACAGCACTCAACTCTCACATACTGACAGGACACTAGCCAGATGCTGGTAGGCAGAGGCAGAATTTTTCCCCTTTTATTTTCCTCCCCAAAAGCTAAGTCCAACCACATAGTTTCATAGTGAAGCATGGGTATTGAATTAAATTCTTTATTGCCATTGTACGTATATACACAGTATACATACAACGAAATTCACATAACACCCAGAGACCAGACTCAACATTCACACACACATGACACCTCCCCACCCACCAAAATTCCCCACCCCTTAAAAACACACAAGCATTCACACAACAGACCAAGTAATCCTGTCCAGCACTGCTGGGTCACTGATGGTGTTCCTTAAGTTCATTGTTAAGTGCAATTATAGCTCTGGGAAAACGTGTGATCCGAGTTTTAATTGTTCTGTATCTTCTGCCAGAAGGCAACAGCCTTCTCCAAGATTGTAAGCAGGATGGGAATCCAGCTAGTTGGAAAATATGCACGCCAAGGCACAAGCCTGAAAAAGCCATATTTGGCCTTCAATTTATATCTGGGGAAAAAAATCATTTCTTCTCATCAATTTCTACCCTGCATCTGAAGATACAAAATGCAGAATAACTCTGGGAGTTGAAGGTCTTAAAGGTGCCTAGACTGACTGCAATTTTTAACATTTTTTAGTGGAAAACCGGCGTTGACTTCGGCTTTCTGAAAAAAAAAACACACACAGGGAACAACGGGCTTCCTTAAAGACTGCCGCAAAAAGGTGGCAAAATCTGGCACAGTAATATGATGTCCCACTTAATGACCATCACAGGTTAGGACTGTGGTTCAATTAGGGTCCTACGTTGAGGACTACCTCCACAACTCTCCTAAAGAAGGGAGAAAAAAAGCCCTTCTCAGATTTTTTCTTTTTTTAAATTGCAAAATTGTATTCCTTACTGTCAGCTCCGCCTGGTTCGGCTTGGCGCCTCACAGGCATCTCGCCATCAAACGTTGGAAGGAAGGATGAAAGGGCGGGAAAGCTTTGTGGCTATGTGATAAGAAATTGGGAGGGGGAAGGACAGGTGAGATAGGACCATAAATTTCTCAAGGTACCTGGTCATAGGTTGGTGAATCCTGTTTGTATCACCAACCTATGACCAGGTACCTTGAGAAATTTATGGATTGTCCACCAACCTCCCCGAAAAATTCTCAAAATATCTTGGTGAGCTCCGGTTGGCTGGAAACGGACACATCGTGGCACGGCGGGATGGACTGTGGCCCAACCTACACCTTATTTTTGTTATCTAGTAAACGTGGAAGATTTCAGAGCTAGCCTGGTTTTACTGCAACCAACGTCCTTAGTAAAAGAACCCTTTGATTTAACCACGTGGAGTCGAGGGTCTTTCTTTCCTAAGGGATTGGATTGGGGCAGGCCTGACACTTACCCTTGCTCGGAGTGTTCCAGTCGAAGGCGTACCACACTAAGTATAGAACTGCTATAATCCAACAGTCTGTGCAGAGTATATATAGTAGGATAATGGTGCATATAATACCTGGAGGAAAAGAGAAGAGAAGAGAACATTAATCCAGGTTGGAAATTATTTCCTATTTCATGGATTTCCCTCAAAGGAAAACGAAGTGTCAGGTTGGAGGAGTCGAAAGTTCTCAGCAACGCTTCTGTCTTCCAAAGAGAATTTTCCAGAAACCCAAAGCTGCGGTGAGTTCTAATCCCACCTTAGAAAAATTGCTGATCCAGGTGGTCCTTGACTTATGACCACAAACTGAGCCCAAAAATTATGTGGTTAGGAATTGTGAAATGAATTTTGCCCCGTTCTACGTCTTTTCCTGCCAGCGTTAAGGGAATCCCTGCAGCTGAGTTAGTCACATGGTTGTTAAGGGAATCTGGCTTCCCCAATGACTTGGCTGGTGAGAAGGTTGCAAAATGGGGACACTGCAACCGTCACAAATAGAAGTCGGTTGCCGAGTGTCTGAATTTTGATCACATGACCCAGGGGATGCTGCAGTGATTGTTAATGTGAACTGTTTTTCATACTTACGACCGTTGCAGCATCTCCCTGGTCATGTGATCAATAGGCAGACACTTGGTTGCTGACTCGTATTTATGACGGTCGCGGGGTCCCGTGATTCCCCTTTGGCATCCTTCCGACAAGCAAAGTCGATGGGGAAACAAACCCAATTCGGTTAACAAACCATGGGACTCACTTAACAAGTAAAGTGACTCACTTAACAACTCTGGCAAGAAAGGTCGTAAAAAATAGAGCAAAACTACCTTAACAAATGTCCCGCTTCACAACAGAAAAGCCATTTTTTTCCCCCTTGGAAGCTTCGAGGCTGCCACATTTAGTACCTGGGAATTTGGGAGGAGGGATTTCTTAGTGAGACTCAACAACACTCTTTTTCAGAGAGTCAAGGACATGTTGCCCGGCACCTGGAGGGGAGAGCGTCTGGTCGAAGGTCTCCAGTTGGAATGAAAATTTGATTGGGCCATGTGAATGGGCTAACAAACGCAGGGAATGGATCTTTGGATTTCTCTCGGGGGAGGGAAAACCCAGAGCTAACAATTCTGGCAAGAAACGTGGTAAAAAAAAAAAACGGGGCAAAACTGCCTTAACCAATGTCTCGCTTCACGACTGAAATGGCTGGGCTCCGTTGTGGATGTAAGTCGAGGACTTACATCCGTTAAGGAATCAATCCTCTCGGCTGAACCCTGTCCTAAAGGAACAATAAATGTGCCACACACAGCTGAGGGCAAGGAAAATGATCCCAACCGCCCACTGGCAAGCTAGGAAGCCTCCCCACCTGGGGAAAAGGTAAGACTAAACGATCCTGTAATTAAAAAGCTACCTGAGCTGCAACGGGGAGGAATTTATTAACTGCACTTTGCATGTATTTATTAATTGCACTTTGTCCCGGGGGGTGGTGGAGGGGGGTGAGGAGGGAATAACCCTTGTAGGAATAAACATGTTTACTAGCCCAGAGATTCCGAGGCTGGCACTGAATGAAGACTGGCAGAGCTAGGGATGCCAGTTTGGTCAAAGGGAGGCTCTTTGGGAAAGGGGTTTTGAATACAGGGAGGTAGGCCTCGACTTACAACCGTTCATTTAGCAGCGGTTCAAAATTACAACAGCACTGAGGAAAAAGTGACAGGGGGCTGAAAAGAGCAACCAAGTTGATTAAAGGCCTGGAGATGATCTGAAAGTTCCCTCTTCTTCTTTTCTTTTCTGTTCTACATTCTATTCTATTCTATTCTACATGCTATTCTATTTTTTTTAATTTAGTCAATTTTATTTAGTTTTCAAAATTTAAAAACATAAAATAAAACCTTATACATCATCATGTCAGCGTCAAGGCATCTTTTACATTTCCTTATCACCTTTCTATATACGCATTTCTTTCATTAGACAATTTCAACTTAATATATAAATAACTATAGATAGATATGAAAATAGATAGAAGTATTTACATAGTTTCCTATTCTTTACCTAATTGCCATTTTGATTTTTTATTCTTAAACCATTCATACCAGGCACTCCAGACATTATAATATATCGACTCTTCTTTGTCTCTTAATTTCATTTTTAGTCTTAATTTCATTGTAGTTATTCTACATCCTATTCTACATCCTATTCTGTATTCTATTCTATTCTATTCTATTCTATTCCATTCCATTCCATTCCATTCCACTCCATTCTCTATTCTATTCTATTCTCTCTTTTCTTCTCTTCTCTTCTATTCTCTATTCCATTCCATTCCATTCTATTCCATTCTCTATTCTATTCTATTCTATTCTATTCTCTATTCTGTTCTCTGTTCCATTCCATTCCATTCTATTCCATTCTCTATTCTATTCTATTCTATTCTATTCTATTCTATTCTATTCTATTCTCTATTCTGTTCTCTGTTCTCTATTCCATTCCATTCTATTCTCTATTCTATTCTCTATTCTCGATTCGATTCAATTCGATTTTCTATTCTATTCTATTCTATTCTATTCTATTCTATTCTATTCTATTCTATTCTCTATTTCATTCCATTCCATTCCATTCTATTCTATTCTATTCTCTATTCCATTCCATTCCATTCTATTCTCTATTGTATTCTCTATTCTCTATTCGATTCGATTTGATTTTCTATTCTATTCTATTCTATTCTCTATTTCATTCCATTCCATTCCATTCCATTCCATTCCATTCCATTCCACTCCACTCCACTCCATTCTATTCTATTCTATTCTATTCTATTCTATTCTATTCTATTCTATTCTATTCTCTATTCCATTCCATTCCATTCTTATGGATATTAAAACATATGAAAAATGGTTGCAGGATTTGGGTTTGGCCAGTCTGCAGAAAAGGACTAGGTGGGGACATGACAGAAGCCTTCCAGTATTTGAGGGGTCAATTTATTTTCCAAAGCACCTGAAAGCAAAACAAGAAACAATGGATGGAAACTAATCCAGGGGAGAAGCAACCTGGAATTGAGGAGGAATTTCCTAACAGTGAGAACAATTAACCAGTGGAACAGAAGTTGCCTTTCGTAATCATAGGCACTTCATCACTGGAGGTTTTTAAGAAGAGACTGGACAGTCACTTATCTGAAAGGGTCTAGGTTCTCCTGCTTGAGCAGGGGGCTCGACTAGAAGACCTTCAAGGTCCCTTCTGATTGATTGATTGATTGATTGAAATGGCATTCACACAATCCTGGGACAATGTGACCATTGTAAATACATAGTAATTGCCAAGGGCTTGACTTTTGATCACGTGATGTTGTAAGTGCGAGGACCAGTGGGAAGTCACAGTGGGCCGTTGCAACTTCGAACAGTCGCAAAACAAATATGTCATAAGTCAAGGACCACCTGAATCCAAGTGTAATTTGGGACAGATTTGGGCAAGGGAATCTGGAGGGCACCCCTGGAGCTTCAAATGTGTCCCCTTCTTCAAACTACCTTCCCAGATCAAATAAAAGGTTCCAAGCTTTTGTACAACAAAAAGAGTTAAATGTTTTTGCAAACATCACAGCCAGAAAATACCCTGAGCAGGTTGTCTTAAATCTGCAAATCATTACAGCTGCATCTTGGCACATAATTTTACTTTAACCAGTTTAGAAATCTGGAGACATTTCCTGATGGGGAGAACAATTAACCAGTGGAACAACTTGTCTCCAGAAATTGTCTTTGCTTCATCACTGGATGTTTTTAAGAAGAGATTAGTCAACTATTTGTCTGAAATAGTGTAGGGTATACTGCTTGGGCAGGGGGTTAGACTAGAAGACCTCCGAGGTGCCTCCCCACTCTGTTATTCTGTCATTTTGTCCTTTTCAACCCAGTTTGGTCAACCTGGGTTGAGAAATGCCATCTCCCACACAGGCAAGGAACATAGAACATGGAAGGATCGGGAGGGAGGACAGAGGTCATCTAATCCATCCCACCCCCACCCCAGAAATCTATTTCCATCACGAAATCAATTTGATGCTGGTTCAGTTTAGATATAGCCACGGTTAAAAGCTTCAGGGACAGAAGATGCTGAACTACAATTCCCAGCATGCCTGCCCCACCCCCGTTCACCATATTGGCTGAGGTTGCTGGCGATTGAAGCTTTTTTAAAGAAGAGATCGGACAGCCATTTGTTCAGATCGGTACATAGCTGTGATGGCAAACCTACGGCACGCGTGCCACAGGTGGCAAGCAGAGCCATTTGTGCCGGCATGCGAGCTGCAGGCAAACTTACTGCACTGCGCATGCGCGAGCCTCACAGCTGATTTTCAGCCAGTTTGAGGTTTTTTAGGCCTCCCAGAGGCTTCGGGAAGGCTTCTGCAGGCTTTTCAGGACGAAAACTAGGCCCATTTCATCACTTCCTGTTTTTCCGGAAATACCGGAAGTGACGAAACAGGCCTATTTTTTCATCCTGAAAAGCCTGCAGAAGCCTTCCTGAAGCCTCTGAGAGGCCGAAAACGGCCTCAAACTGGCCGAAAATCAGCTGTGAGGCACAGTGCAGATAAGAGGGTGGCAGGGGTGGGTGAGGATTGCACGTGCATGCGTAGGGTGCATTGCCTTCTGGGTGCTGGCACACAAGTGCGCGCACCATTTTTGGCACAGGAGCCCCAAAAGGTTAGCCACCACTGGTATATAGGGTCTCCTGCTTGGGCAGGGGGTTGGCTAGAAGACCTTTGAGGTCCCCTTCCAACCCCGTTATACTGATCCTTTGGGCCATGCCATGTTCTAATAAGATGGCATGAGAGCTCAATACCCCCGGCTGCCTTCCATGGTTTGAGAAATGCCACGTTATTTATTTAACAATCTTCTCTGCCAAGGGGTTTTGGTTGCCCAAGTAAAGAGAAACACATTCTGGGTCATTTTACCAAGGATAGGGCAGCTTAAACTGGCCAAAAGAAAGGGTGGCATTAACAAATAATTTCCCCCGCCCACAAAAAAAATATTGTTGCACTTCAACTCCCAGAATTCTCCAGGCAAAGATCACACGAGCTGGGAATTATAGCACGACCACCTTGTTTAAAAAAATAAAAATAAAGGAAAATGACTCACTATTCAGCAATTTTTTTCGGATGTGGCCCAGGAATTTTGTGAGTGGTGGTGGGGGGTTTGTCTAGGCACAGCAATCTAGACGCTCCCCTTATTCACAGACCCTGCACCTAGGTGCAATTCACAAAGTCGGCCAGGTAAATAAACCACAACTGGAATGGAACAGCTTTGCCTTGGAAGTTGTGGGAGCATCATCCCTGGAAGCTTTCATAGAAGAGACTGGACTGCCATTTGTCAGAAATGGTGTAGGGTCTCCAGCTTGGGTGGGAGGGGGTTGGACTAGATGACCTACAAGATCCCTTCTGAATCTGATTATGTGTTTTCTATAAAGTATTTATCTACAGGCAATCCTCGGCTGAACGGCCACAATTGGGGCTCGCATTTTCTGTTGTTAAGCGAGAGCTTTGTTAAGTGGCCCCTCTTTTAACGACCTTTCTTGCCACGTTGTTAAGTGAATCACTGCGGTTGATAAGGAAGCAACATGGTTGTTAAATGAATCGGGCTTCCCCGCAGACTTGGCTCCTCAGAAGGTCGCAAAAGGGGATCACTGAGACTGTCATAAACACGAGGCAGCTGCCAAGCATCCAAATTTTGATCCCGTGACCACGAGGGATGCTGCAACGGTTGGTAAGTGTGAAAAAAATCATTCCTAAGCCCCTTTTCCAGTGTCGTTCAAACGGTCACTAAATGAATAGCTGTCAAGTCGAGGACTAATTCCAGGCTCAATTGTAGTCCTCGACTTACAACCACAAGTTAGGAGTGGAATTTCCCTCGTAAGTCACAGAGGTCATAAGTTAAATTATCATGTGACCAGATCTGATGATACACCTGGGTTGTTTTTTTTTTTTTACATCCGTCATTAAAGCAAATCACCCAGTCGTTAAACCAATCCAGAATCCCCACATGGATGTCTTTTTGCTGGAAACCGGTCCCAAATCCCTGTCACATGACCTCAGGATGCTGTAACCAAGACTGGGCTGCTACCAGTTCTCCCCGGTTTGGGCAAATCCGTACCGAACTGTTAGCTAATTTTTTTGGCCAGTTCAGTGAACCAGGAGATCCCAACCCTGGCTGGCCCTGCCCACCCCTCCCCGCCCCTCTCAGGAATCTCCGCGGCCCATTTTGGATCCCAGGTAAGTGCAGGGCGCACACAGAGGCTCAGGAAGGCTGAAAAACAGGCCTTCTGGAAATTTGGGAAGGCCGGAAATGGGCCTGTTTCCGGCTTCCAGAGAGCCTCCGTAGCCCTGGGAGGCCGTTTTCACCCTCCCGGAGGCTCGAGAAAAGCCTCTGGAGCCCGGGGAGGGCGAAAACACCCCTCCCCTGTGCCACGGTGCAGGAGGCCAATTAGGCCACGCCCACCATGGCCACGCCCACCCAGCCACCGGGCAGAGAACCTGTTGCTAAAATTTTTGAATTTTGTGCGACCTTCATACAGGGAAGGCGTTTTTTTCCAAAGCCGTCATAAATTTGAATCGAGATCAAACGAACGGTCCCACGTTAAGGACTACCCGTGAAGTTACCCTCGGTCCTTTTCAAAAGGAAAAAGGGGCCAGACATGGAGATTTTGTTATCCGTGTGAGGGTGAAAAAAACACCAGAGAGGGCACGAAGCCAAATTTTCCGCAAACAAGTTTTGAGGCATACAGAAAATCCATTTGTTCCAAGCAGGGGTGGATCTTTGACCCACCCCGCACACACACACACACACGCACACACGCACACACACACAATGGCCTTGAAAAGTCACGGTCACACTCGTATTTTGGATCACGGGATAGATAAAAATTGGGATTTTGTTGTCCAGGTCCTTTGGCTCGGTACAAGCACTTAACCTCCCCTTTTTACCCGCAAATTTTGGGACATTATCCAAGGTTTAGATAAAACTGAATAAGGAGAAAGGGTCTGAATTTGGGAGAGAAAAGAATTAGAGCTCCCGTGTGTTCCATTATCATTACCAAATGGTATAGAAATGGTATAGGGCAGGGGCCGGCCACCTTTTGGACCTCAGGGACCACCAAACTCATAATTTTAAATCCCGCGGACCTCTAATATGGATTTTGACTGATGGTGGCTGGCTGACGTGGGTGGGAAAGTCAGTCCCTTATTCCAGAGCTGCAGGAGTCACAGGACTGGCCCTTTGGTCATACAAGATACAACATAGAATAAAAATTCAAGAACTAGAAAACCTTGAATTAGGCCGTCTTCGGTCTGACCTAAGCATGGTATATAAAATCATACATTGCAATGTCCTACCTGTCAATGAATACTTCAGCTTCAACCATAACAACACAAGAGCACACAACAGATACAAACTCAAGGTTAACCGCACCAAGCTTGATTGCAGGAAATACGACTTCAGCAACAGAGTGGTCAATGTCTGGAATACTCTACCTGACTCAGTGATTTCTTCCCCAAACCCCAAAAACTTTAACCTTAGACTGTCTACTATTGACCTCACCCCTTTCCTAAGAGGCCTGTAGGGGGCGTGCATAAGCGCACCAACGTGCCTACCGTCCCTGTCCTATTGTTTCTTTTATTTTTCTTTTATTTTTCTTATATGTACCCATTTCATGTATTCATAACTATGTATACACTTATACTTATTATCTTGTAAACAATTGACAAATAAAATAAAATAAAAATAAAGATCAGTTGCTCCTCCACCCAGGTACACCGGCCTACCAGGGACTGGAGGAGGAGCTGCTCCGGGATGACCAAAGCGCCAGTCTTGTGACTATAGCAGCTCTGGAATATGGGACCGACTTTTCCACCAACGTCAGCGAGCCACCCCGGGGCGGATTTCTCTCCCCCGCCGTTGGTCTTACCTTCCAGTTCCAGCTCGCGTGGCTCTACTCAAGGTAAGGTTTGCGCTTGGCTGAAGGGTGGGGGGTTAGTGGGTGGGTGGGCCATGTGGGCAGCGCGGCCTTGTGTTCCCACGCAGCCTGCATTAATTGTTTTGGGGGGAGGGCTTGGGGGGGGCATTTCCCTGTGGACCACCAAAATTTTCTTGCGGACCAACGGTGGTCCCCGGCCCACCGGTTGGCAACCACCGGTATAGGGCAGGGGTTGACAACCTTAAACACTCAAAGAGCCATTTGGTGAGCGCTCCTATCACTGGGGTTTTTTTAAGAAGAGATTGGACAAGCGTTTGTCTGACATGGTATAGGGCAGTGGTGGCTAACCTTTTTGGGCTCCTATGCCAACAGTTGCATTCACGCTCGCGGGCACATGCTCACGTGCCAGCACTCAGAAGGCAATGCATGCGGCACCCCCACGCCTCCTGTGCATGCGCGCATGATGCCCTCCCGCCACCCCCTTACTGCACTGGGCCCGTTTTGTCACTTCTGGTATTTCTGGAAATACAGGAAGTGACAAACGGGCCTGTTTTTCAGCCTCCAAAGGCTGCAGAGGCTTCCCTCGAGATTCTGGGAGGCCGGAAAAGGCCTCAAGAGACCCAAAAATCACCTGGAAGGCATGCGCATGCGCAGTGCAGGTAAGTTTGGCTGGGGCTTGCGTGCCCGCACAAATGGCTCTGCGTGCCACCTGTGGCACACGTGCCATAGGTTTGCCATCACGGGTATAGGGACACCTGCCTGGGAAGGGTTGGACTAGAAGACCTCCAAGGTCCCTTCCAACTCTGTTATTTTCTGTTAAAGCACCTGAGGGCAGGTTGAGAAGCAACAGATGGAAACTAATCAAGGAGAAGACCAAACTAGAATTAAGGAGAAATTTCCTGACAGCGAGAACAATCAACCAGTAGGACAACTTTCCTTCAGAAGTTGTGGCTGCTCCTATCACTGGAGGTTTTTAAGAAGAGATTGGACAACCATTTGTCTGAAATGTTATAGGGTCTCCTGCTTGAGCAGGGGGTTGGACTAGAAGACCTTGAATGTCCCTTCCAACTCTGTTGTTCTATTCTATTCCTATTCCTTCTGTTATTTTTAGTCTGTCTATTCCATTCAATTCCATTCCATTATTTCATTTCTGGTCTGGTCTGGTCTGTCTAGTCCAGTCTTTCTTGAAGACATCTTTAGTAATCCATGCACCCCTATCTCCCAATAGGCACCACCCCAAAAGTCTCGAGCAAAAAGACAAAACGATCTCCTTACCCATCATAAGGAATGAGACCACCCATTGCAGCACCGAAATGATCTGCAGTTGCTTCTCCACTTTTGACTTGGACAGCCAAGAGAGATCCTGAAGGGCCGACAAGATGCTGGAACCGGTCCCTGAAAGGAGAAAAGGAAAAGAATTCGGTCCATTGAGTGATTTCCAAAGGCTTCCCCAACGGATCCCTTCCCGAGGCTTTGAATGTGACTCTCCACATTCCTTACTAACTAATTAATGAATTCCCTACTAACCATTAACTATTAATTCCCTACTTGGCCATCGCTAGTGTGTACGACCGTGAGAGGCGGGCCAGAAGGAAAGCTGAGCGCCGAAGAACTGACGCTTTCGAATTGTGGGCGCTGGGGAAGACTCTTGAGTGTCGTCTCCTTTGCACTGTGAGGAGATCCAATCAGTCGATCCTCAAGGGGATCGACCCTGGCTCCCTTTTGGAAAGACATGCCATGGGAGTCACAACGAGTTGGACACAACTTAGCGACTAAACAACAAAGAACAACAGGTTCACCTCAATCTGTGTGGTTCAAGTTAAGAGCACTTGGTCCAAAGCAATGCTTACTCTGGAGCCTCATGCAGTGTTCCTCGACTTACGACCACATTTGGGAGCAGAATTCCCACTGTAAGTCATTACAGGTAGCCCTCAACAAAAATGATGGCCATTTTTCACGCTTATGACTGTTGCAGCATTCCCACGTTCACGTGATCAAAATTCAGATGCTTGGCAATTGTCACAATTAAATTTCTTAAGTTCTAGGTTGGTTCTCTTGATGGAAACTAACAAGGGAAGTGTTGGAATGCGCTGATAGGAAGTAACTTTTTGTAACAACTACCAAAGTACTCAGCCAGTGAATGGCATTGTTTACAAGTTTGTTGTTTTACCCTAGGTAGAGTTTCCTATTAAGTTGAACAGCTAAGCAGTAAAGCACATGGTGACTGTACTCTTTGTTTGATCTGTGGTGCTGTATATAAACAGAATTTCTAACAGAAAAAAAAACAGCCTAGAACTAAGGAGAAATTTCCTGACAGTGAAAACAATTGATCAGTGGAACAACTTGCCTCAAGAAATTGTGGATACTCCATCACGGGAGGTTTTTAAGAAGAGGTTGGACAACCATTTGTCTGAAATGGTACAGGTAGTCCTCAACTCACGACCACAATTAAGCCCAACATTGATGTTGCTAGGTGAGAAATCTGTTAAGTGAGTCTTGCCCCATTTTATGACCTTTCTTGCCAACTTTTCTCATTGACTTTGCTTGCCGGAATCACATGACCCCAGGACACTGCAACTGTCATAAGTATAAGTCAATTGTCCAGCATCCCAACATAAATCACGTAACCATGGGGATGCTACAATGGTTGTAAGTATGAAAAATTGTCATAGGTCTCTTTTTTCAGTGCCATTGTATCTTGGAACGGTCACTAAACAAACTCTTGTTAAGTCGAGGTCTACCTATATAGGGTTTCCTGCTTAGGCAGGGGGTTGGACTAGAGGACCTCCAAGGTCCCTTCCAACTCTTGTTATTCTGTACATAGCAGTGTTAAAAAGCAGAGCAGGGTTAAAATGGACACCTTTTCAGCCATGCTCAGGTGTAAATGGGAAAAGGCTTCAAGTGAGGTTAATTTAACAGCCCAGAAGCAGATAAACAATAGAAGGAAATAGATTAGAGAAGATCCAGCCAAGTGTTGACACTACTTCCTTAGAGGAAGAGGAGGTCAATCTGTCCTCCTCATAAACGGACTGTGAATAGAAATGGCGTGTTTGCAAGTAGATTTTTCACCTCCGCAAATCTCCCAAAGTTATCCATTGACCAATCGCTCAAGTTGCCGGAGTTCCCAATTCCTGCAATGGTTGTTGTATGTTGTCAAACAAACTGAAGGCCGAATGTTGTTTTTTTGGCACAGCACGTAAGCATTTCCTAATGATTGGGACTTGGGTCAGGGAAATATGAATCTGAGGGACGCAAAATTAAAAGCGGCAAAAGGTGTGTGTTTTTGCAACCAACAAGATTTCTTCCTGGGCAAGATGTTTTTTGGACACGCAACCACAACGTGCCTTTTCCTCAAACACGAGCACATTCAGAGGTGTGCTGCTGAAAGAGATGCTCAGTAAGAGAGCAATTGAGGCATATCTAGGAATTACTGCATTTTAACAACAATGCAATCTACCCCAAACATCCACTGGAAAGGAAGGAAGGAAGGAAGAAAGAAAGAAAGAAAGGAAGGAAGGAAGGAAGGAAGGAAGGAAGGAAGGAAGGAAGGAAGGAAGGAAGGAAGGAAGGAAGGAAGGAAAGGAAAGAGGAAGGAAGGAAGGGGAAGGAAGAAAGAGAAAGAGAAGGAAAAGGAAAGTGGAAGGAAGGAAAGAAAAAGAAAGAAAGGAAAGAGGAAGGAAGGAAGGGGAAGGAAGAAAGAGAAAGAGAAGGAAAAGGAAAGTGGAAGGAAGGAAAGAAAAAGAAAGAAAGGAAAGAGGAAGGAAGGAAGGGGAAGGAAGAAAGAGAAAGAGAAGGAAAAGGAAAGTGGAAGGAAGGAAGAGAAGGAAGGAAGGAAGGAAGGAAGAAGAGGGAGGGAGGGAGGAGAAGGAAGGAAAGAGAAAAAAGACAGAAAGAAAGAGAGAGAAAGAAAGGGATGGAAGAGAAGGAAAAAGAGAGAAAAGAAAAGAAAGAAAGGGGGGAGGGAGGAAGAGAGGGGGAAGGAGAAAGAAAGAAAGAAAGAAAGAAAGAAAGAAAGAAAGAAAGAAAGAAAGAAAGAAAGAAAGAAAGAAAGTTGGAGAAAGGGAAGGAAGGTAGGAAAGAGAGAAAGAAAGAATGAGGGAGGGAGGGGAAGGGAGGGGGAAGGAGAGAGAAAGGAAGAAAGAATAGAAAAAAGGCAGAAAGAAAGAAAGAAAGAAGGAAGGAAGGAAGGAAGGAAAGAAAGAAAGAAAGAAAGAAAGAAAGAAAGAAAGAAAGAAAGAAAGAAAGAAAGAAAGAAAGAAAGAAAGAAAGAAAGACCTTTCAACGCCTACTCAATTTGAGTCATTGCCATTTCCGAGACTAGGCCCAGACCTTGCTGGATTTTCAGCCAACATTAATTTGGGAGATGACCAGAATTGTTTAAGAAAAGTCAGCCAAAATTCACAGGGCATTAAGTTGGGGCAAATTTGCCTCATCTACACAGTACACAATCAATCAATAGAACAGGTTGCATTCAGACATTATGGGTGTTCCATCAGTGGAAGTTTTTGAGAAGAGACTGAAGCGCCATTTGTCTGATATGTTATGGGGTTTTCTGCTTGAGCCAGGGGGTTGGACTAGAAGACCTCCCAGGTCCCTTCCAATATTGTTATTCTGTCTTTTTCACCTGGGTTTGGTCAACTTGAGTGGAGTCAGGCAAGAAGCATACAGTAGGCAAGAAACACACAAGGTAAGGATTGGAAGGGAGTATAGAGGTCATCTAGTTTAACCCTTTCCCACCCCAGAAATCATCTTCTATCGTTAAACCAGCTAACATGCCGGCTCAGTTTAGATATAGCCATTACTCTATGGTTAAAAGCTGCAGGGGCAGGAACCTCAGGTCCTCCAGAAGATTTTGAACTACAACTCCCAGCATGCTCCCTATTCACCAGATTGATTGAGATTGCTGGGGATTGAAGTTTTCAGAAACTTCCGTTTCAAGGTTACAATTTTCCCAACACCCCAAGCCCTACATTCGTGTTTCTCAAATCTTGGCGCCTTTAAGATATATGGACTTCAACTCCCAGAATTCATCTGCGCTGGTTGGAGAATTCTGGGAGTCGAAGTCCCCACGGTTTAAAGATGCTAAGACTGAAAAACGCTGCCACAGATTATCAGCAGTCGCAACCTTCACAATCAGCAAGCACAACCTAGGAATGCTCAAATCCTGCCTTAAAAGTGCCTTAAATTTTCTTAAGAGCCAGTATGGCATTGTGGCTAAGTTACCAGGTTAGAAACCCAGAGGTGGGGAGTTCAAGTCCCAACTTAGGCATGAAAACCAACTGGGTGACTCTGGGCCAATCACCAGGAGATGGTGAATTCTAGTTCTGCCTTAGAACATGAAAACCAGCTGAGTGACCTTGAAACAGCCATTCTCTCCCTCAGCCGTTCAACCCACCTCACAGGGTTGTTGTTGCAGAGAAAATAGGAGTAGCATTAGGGTATGTTCTCCCCCCTTGAGTTATTTACAAACAATAATAAAGACTGGGTTGAAAAAAAACTCAGCTAAGTACAGAATGTTGCCTGTTCCTGTCTTCCTTACCCTCAAAGTCCCAACTGGCTGGGAATCCTGGGAGTTGTTGTCCCCACAAGGCCCTGGGGGGTGGGCTCCCGCGGCGTTGTTTTTTTTTTTTTTTTACTTCTCTTTCTCCTATTTCGGTGGGAAGAGAGTCCTACAATTCTCCTTCCCAGCTTGGGTTTAATCATCCGAGCAGTCTTGATCTGCATAAATCATCTACCAAGGAAGGTTGGCTTGGAAACCAGCAATGTCAAAAAAAAATAACCTTTGCAAAACCTGGTGTGTGTGTGTGTGTGTGTGTGTGTGTGTGTGTGTGTGTGTGTGTGTGTGTGTGCTTCTCCAAGGGGCTGAGATACGGCAACAAAGCAGGCTGGTGGTGAATGATGGAGGCCCATTGTGCTGCCGTGGCAATGACTGAAATCAGAGATCACAACACAACTAGGGTTTCCCTCTGTACAGAATAAACAGAGTTGGAAGGGACCTTTGGAGGTCTTCTAGTCCAACCCCCTGCTCAAGCAGGAAAACCCTGTATCATTTTAAACCAATGGTTGTCCAATCTCTTCTTAAAAACCTCCAGTGATAGGAGCACGCACAACTACTACTTTTTTTTTCTTTTAAAAATCATCTTTATTGAACGTTATTTTCACAATTAAAAACACACTTCAAATAATTTAACCACCGGTTCTTCTGCCCTAATGATTTCTTCCAGCAACCGCTCAGAAAGTTAGCAACCGGTTCTCACGAACCAGTGTGAACCGGCTGAATCCCACCATTGCTCTACTCTAACCAGGAGAATCCAGGAGAATCCTCCTAGTTTTTCATTTGGCACGCCTGTTTTAGTTTTTAAACACAATTGCAAATGACTTTTTTTTCCACCCCCCCACTAGGAAGCAAAACTCCAGCCTCCCAGTTTATTTATTAATGTCCTTGTTGACATTGGTAGGAAAAAAAAATTAAGGGGGCAGTTGGAGATAATCAGGGAACTGATTATTAGCATCCTGTAAAGATAGAGGGAGGGAACTATTGCCCCTTGGTGACCTG